AATTTTCATTTGTTTCTATCCAAAAGCATGGCACCTCTGTGATCCTGATGCGGAAAAAGTATTTAAGACCCTAAGGAATGCAGGTGTAAAATTGGCTGTTGTGTCAAACTTTGACACTCGATTGAGGCCTGTTTTGCGGGCTCTAAATTGTGATTACTGGTGTGATACTGTGGCAGTATCAGCTGAAGTAAGTATCGGTCTATTTATTTTTTTCCTTTCATTCTTCCTATGGCATTGTTCAATTTCTCTCTTTCTCCACGAACAGGTTGAAGCAGAGAAGCCAAATCCGACCATATTTATAAAAGCTTGTGAGTTGTTGGGAGTAAAGCCTGAGGATGTTGTTCATGTGGGGGATGATTGTAGAAACGATATATGGGGTGCTAGAGATGCAGGTTGTGATGCTTGGCTATGGGGAAGTGATGTACATTCCTTCAAAGAGGTATCATTAACTACTTCACTTCTATTGCTTGATAGCAAACTACATGAGCCACATGCCTTTTTGCTATGCATCTCTCTCTCCCTCTCTCTCTCTCTCTCTGCATTTAGCAACTGTCTTCTTTTGACTTGTTATAGCTTCAGAATTCAATATGCTTTTGTTGCATTTATGTATGTTAAATAGCTAAAAGACCCACAAGCCCCTGCGGCGAGATCACTCAAAACTCTAAAGCTACATGATTATTTTATTTTATTTTGGATTGGGAAAAATGATAAAAATTTATGGGGCTATGTTATACGTGTATTTTTGTAGGTTATATTGGGCTAGATAGTGCTGAATAATACTGAAACAAGAACTTTGATAAGGTGCAATTGTATTTCATATTCTGCTATGGAGCACAATGATATACTAAAATAAAAGAGGATGTCTTTTTGAATGTAGTGTTGTGTTGGTGTTAGTTACATGTCCAATACATGTTCAACATAGATAGGCAAATTTATCGCATGGTTATTGGGCTTTTTTTACCTCGGTCTCACCAAAAGTGGGGTCAAGGGGTTACTCTTAATAAAAAAATAAATAAAATGAAAAAAAGATAGGCAAATTTATGAGAATCTAGTGTGGATTTAACCCATGGCTTTGTGCCACAGTGGTATGGTCTACAATCCCTATAGTGGAGATTGTGGGTTCGCGCTTCATGTGGTGTTGGGGCTGATCTTTTTTAAAATAGGCTAGTGTAGGTTCTAATGAGTGAAAAAAAAAAGAAAAAGGGGGAGTGTGAATTTAAGTGATTATAAACAAAACAAAATTTGGAAAATAGTTGTGAGGATACAATATGTACAAGGTGTACATTGTGTGTACTATAAGTGTCTTGATAGAAAGTATGAGACACATAGTACACACCCTTGTCAAAGTGTTGGGTGTGTAAGATGAGTGTTTGATTTAGTTTTAAGAGTCCAGGTAACATAGATGTGCATGCCTCACTCATGAGGGCAGGGTCCTCCACACATATACATATAGAGAGAGAGAGAGAAAAGAGGTTGGTAGTAGTATTGAAATCTTGGATATACAAAAACATCAAATGAAGCACAGAGATGACTCTAATGGCGACAACAAAGTCCAAGATCAGTAATCTTCTGAGCATCTTAACAGCAACCCACAAAACGCCCAGTTTGGCTTCTGCTTCGTACTCTAATGGCGCTGCGAGAAAGTTTCGGGTCGATCCATTTGGAGGTTCGGGTCAGTCATTATTGTCCTCGGTGGCTCCTCTAGAATCGGCCATGGTGAGTTTGAAGGATTATGAGGAGTATAGGAAGGCTCTGTATGGTGGCTTCACTCACAAGGCTCTCTTGTTCTCCCCTTTCAGCCCATGGCAAAGGCATGCATCTCCCCCCCACCCCCCCGTCTGTCTCTCCAATTAAATACCCATTTCATTTCTCTATGTCGGGTTAATTTTTTATTTTATTTTAATCTTCTAAGCTATGGCAAAATTTGTTTTGTTTTGTTTTGTTTTGTTTAATTGCATTCTTAAACTATTAATTTGATTTATTTAGCTCTTAAAGTTGATAATTTCAGCTAATTATACAAAAATAAAAAAATTTGTTGCAATTAATTACTGTTAAAATCTAGTTGTCCAAAACAGTGCACTCCATAATTAGACTCCTGTAATATTTTGGAAGTATTATAGTCACGAAGTCCATGTTTCTAGACTTAGATTTGTGACTCTTTGAAATTTTGTAATTTTTCTACGAAAGAACAGCCTTGAAGATTCATTCAAACATCCAAGTATCCATATGTCTACATCAATTATTGGCATCAAGATACTCAGAATAAAAAGACAAAATCTGTAGAAGATAAGGCCTCTCTTCAACAATCAGCAAAATTCACGCCAAGAAACGACAACAGCTACTGTAAATATTTATGTATGTAATTATTGACGTTTGTTAGTAGTAAGGCTTCTCCTTCACTCACTACTTTAATAGAGCAGATGACCCTTACCTTGCCCCATTAAAGAAAAGCTGTGAGAATCCTTACATGTGTCTTGTAACAAATTATAGTGTCAAAATTTTATCAAAATAGGAGGATTGAATGATGTGCGATGAGGCCCAAAGCAGTAACCGACATCATTATCCTAACCCTTTATTTGTGTTTAGAATAATAGGAAGTTTGTCAAAAATATGCATATAATTGTGTACAAAGTCTTTGTATATGTCAGTATATGTAGAATTTTTTGAAAAAACCTATGACTAGGCTTGACTAGGTCTCTTAGGTCTTTAGACATTTGTAAAAAGGATTGATCGAAAGTCTGAGATAGGCACTAGGTCTTGGGTTTTTATTTTTATCCTTTTATTGTATTGTATAAATTGGCATTCATGCCAACAGAAGAAGCAATGAAAAAAATTCTTTCCACTCTTCCTTGCAAAAATTTTCTCTAACTTTCGTCAAAAAAATTCTAAGTGTTCAAGTCTTTCAGAACCTCAAAGTCTGTAACATAATCTTTGTAAGTATACTACTTATTAATATGAAGTATGAGTAGTCTCTCTTTTTCCTTAAATATTTCAAAAGGGTAACTCTTCTGTTCTAAAATTTATTTTCTTTTCGAAAAAATTAAATTTATGGAATGCTTGCTTGCTCATTAATATTGCATACTTTGCACCTTCATAGTATCTGTTGTTTTCTATTTTATTACTGAGTGACCTTAGCTGAAGAGCTCGTGTGAGCCGTGGTTAGGCATTGAAGGTAAATTGTAGGCAGAAAGGGAAAAGTAACAAATAGAAAATAAAAATATGCTATGTTCAACAGGGCTTAGCTTCAAGGGGGGAGTACATGTAATGAAAGTAAACATTGCCTAAAAATAGTTTTATCAAAGAAAAAGAATTTTAGAATATAAGGAGAGCAACCTGAGTAGAAATATCAAGGAGATATTTTTCAGATAAAAATTTTAAAATCAAAATTTATGCTTTTAGAAGAAGAACTTAGAATTAAAATCAGATCCAGTACTGGGCTTATATAAGAATTAGAGGATCAGAAACTAAGATATCAATTTCTGTTACCATTAGCCTGTTGTAAATCTCTAGTACATTATAGTTTGAAAATCACACAAATAAATAGATAGATAACTACAAAACAAGAAGCCTTACAGCTAGCCGTACAACAGCTTGAGGATTTATTAGCATAACTATATATAGCGATCCTCGTTTTGACCCGACCTTTGTTGTATTCCGGACTCGGGTTTCGTGGCTTAGTATTGCATCAATGTCTTGTTTTCCTCATTTATCTCTTTGAATTTGAGTTTCGGAACTTGTCGGGCGTGTTTGGAACAGGTTGATTGTTAGTTGGTTTAGATTGTTGTTGCCCAGATTTTGGCTTCTTCGCTTGAGCGAGCCTTGTGAAATTTGTTTCTTCGCTCGAGCGAGCTTTCTTGCGCTCGAGTGAGGATTAAGAGTTCTCAGGTTTCTTTCCCAGATGCAGAATTTCTTAGAAGGTTGAGGTCTTCGCTCGAGCAAGGCTTCTTGTGCCGCTCGAGCAAGCGTGTGCGTCTGTAAAACTCTGAAGCTTTGCATTTTGTGCTTGAGCGACACTTCTTGCGCTCGAGCGAGGTCATTTGTTGTGTCTGGTCGCTCGAACGACAACTCTTTCGCTCGAACGAGCCTCACGTATATCAGTTTGCAGCCGGGCCATTTTACATCACTTTTTGATTTCATTTCTTTCCACAACCCTAATCCGGCTCCCTCTCTCTCTCTAAAAATCCATCTTCTCTCTACAAATCCCTTAGAATCTAAGAGTTTCTACTTCACCCCCTTTGAGAAAAAAGTGGAGCACCTTATGGGCTTCCTCTTGATCCGAACAAAACCGAATTTGGAGCATTTTTGAAGTTCTTCATCCTCTCCTTTGAGCTTCTACACTTGAGGTGGAGATATTCTACTCTTTAATATGGGTTTTAACCTAGGTATTTGTCATTTTGTATAAATGGTGGAATTTGGGAAGATTTGGGTGAAGTTAGGGTTTGGGTCCAAAACTTAAAAGAGGGGTTTCCATTTTTGGTTCTATGAATACATATTTGGAGTATTGAATAGAAGGTTACATGGGTTAAAATGATGAAATTTGGCCTGGGGTTTGATATTTGGAAAAAGGGGAAAGATTGCCCTAATTGGTGTTAAATAGTTATTATGTGTAAATAATGAAATTGACATGGGAATTATGAAATTGGAAAGGTGTATAAATGAATGTTGTTGTTGGATTTGTGAAATCAGCCATAAATTGTCTATTTGATAAATTAAATATCTGTTTTGAGCTATTGGTGGAGGATAGCTGTGATTGTTGTAGAAACTGCATGAGGATTAGGTGAATTGAAACTAATCATTTGAATTATGTCATTGAATATTATGGTTTGATTAAACCATTGAATATGTGAATTGGTTAGTCATTGTATATGACAACGCTTTTAAATACATTGTATATGTATCATTGTTTGGGAGGAGATAGGGGATGTACTCCATTGAAAATTAAGTTGGCCGAAGGGTCTAGGGTGAAAGTCCCGAAATCTTATGCATATTTATGGGTGCCAACTTGCTCAGATAAGAATTCCGTAAAATGATAAGAAATTTGAAGTGTTTCAATAATGTTTATTATTGATGTATTGACGAATGAGTTGTAGTCTCGTCTGGGATAGTTTAGATAACAAGGGATTATATATATGAGTTGATCTGGATAAATGTATGGAAATGGTTTGAGATATTGATGTTATTATTGATTGGTCATGGAAAAGATGTCAGTTGGTTTTAAATACTGAACATATATCTGATGCTTATATCTTAGTTAAATCTCATATATTGTGTTAGTATATCTCTGCTGGGCTTTGGCTCACCCTACTTGGGAAACCATTTTCAGATACAGGTGACATGCCTCATCCAAAGACGTAGCTTGGGAGTACTAGGGGCTGAAGGCTCTGTTTTTATGTTATCTTTATGTTTACATGTTTTCTTTTAAGCCGAGGGCTTTATATGTAAAGAGCTGATGACTCTCTTTTATTGTAACCAAGCTATCTCTTGGAAAGATGTAAGCCCGTAGGGCATTCTTTTGTTGTTGTTAATCTAGTGTCACATGCTATAGATTTAGGATGAACATTTATGAATGTGTAATGCATGTGATACCCCTTTTGTAATATAAACTCTGATGAATGAAATATAACATTTTCTAATATGTTTATGAATCTAATGGGTTGGATTATCCTCTTTATTTTGAGGGCATTACAACTTTGTATCAGAGCGTGTCGGGTTTTAATACTTTGGGTATGTGGGAAGTGGTTAGTACCACAGTGGGTTCGTCTCGCTTGTTAGAGACTTAAGTATGGATGTTATGTGCTTATATGATAACATGCTTATGTGATTATATGGTATGGAATTTAATTTCTAGGATGTTGATCGGGTCCATGGGTTTCTGGGAGTCCTGTTGGAAAGGCACTTGATCATTACCGTGTCTAACTGGAACTCTATCGATGCCATGAGACGGTCATTATCCAGAAATGAAATTCGTATGTGTTTATGTGATTATATGCTTATGTGGAGTGACTTACAGATGTCCATTGTATTAGGACGTGGGTGAATTAGCTTCGACATATTTGTAAATGTGCTAATGCCTATCGTTACCTTTATTAGGATGTCAGGATGAGGTCGTGGTGGTAGGCGTGGTAGGCCTAGGAGGCATGAGATGCCTACACCAGATGACATTCCGGCGTAGGAGGAAGGAGTTGGTTAAGCCAATGTGACTGAGCCAGTAGGTCAACAGGCCATGGGCGCCTTAGCCCGTGAAATGGCTGGAGCATTGCGGGACTCCATG